ACCCCCCCCACTTTGAATGCGAGGCCCAGTGGAGGTGTATTGGGCAGAGGTGGGGTGGATGGACACTGAATTGGTTGAGGCCCAGTGGAGGGAATTGGCTGAGAGGGGTGGAGGACACGTGAGTCGGAGGCCAGCGGAGTTCGGAGGTATTGGCAGAGAGGGGGTGGAGGTGCCTGAGTGGCGGGCCTGTGAGGGGATGGGGCAGCGAAGGGGGGAGGGACACTGAATGGAGGGGTGGGGGATTGGCAACGAGGGGTGGAGGACACTGGTGTGGAGGGCAGTGGAGGGGGTGGGGAGGAGAGGGGTGAGAGGACACTGGAGGGGAGGGTGGGAAGGTGTGGAGGGATTGGCAGAGAGGGGTGGAGGACACTGAGTAGAGGCCAATGTGGACAGGGGTGATTGGGATGAGAGGGTATGAAGGACACTGATTTGGGGCCAGTGGGGGATTGGCAGGGAGGGTAGGTTAGAGGACGTCTGAGTGGGTGGGCCAGTGGGGAGGGATTGGGGAGGAGGGAGAGGGTTGAAGCGGTAGAAGACAGTGACGTGGAGGGGGGAGTGGAGGGGATTCGTGGGGCAGAGAGGGGGAGATGGGGACAGAGGGAATGGAGGCCAGGGCTAGGGGGGGTTGGAGGAGGGGTAGGAAGGACACTGAGTGGAGGCCTTAATGGGGATGCGACAGAGAGGGGGTGGAGGGGTAACTTGAATGGAGGCCCAGTGGAGGGATTGGCAGAGAGGGGGGGAGGACACTGAATGGGGGTGTGTGATCGGGGATTGGGCAGATGATGGGGCGGAGGGAGCACTGAATGGAGTGGCAGTGCGAGGGTATTGGGGCTCAGGGGGATCGAGGGTGACAGGAGGACACTGAATGGAGGCCAAAGAGGGGGGAAGGATGGCAGGTAGAGGGGCGGTGGGACACTGAGTGGAGGCCAGTGGAGGGGATTGGCAACGAGGGGGATGGAGGGACTCTGAATGGGAGGGGCAGTGGAGGGGGGATTGGGGAGAGGGGGTGAAGAGGACATTGAGTGGGTGGGGAGCAGTGGAGTGGTGGGGATTGGCTGAGAGGAGGGGAGGAGAACACTGAGTGGGGGCCAGGGAGGGTCGGCTTGGCAGAGAGGGGTGGAGGACACTGTATGGAGGTCAGCGGGCAGTGGATGGCAGAGAGATACGAAAGCGGGGAAGACTTCTGAATGGAGAGGGGGACAGTGGAAGGGTTGGCATCTGGAGAGGGGGGTGGAGGGCACTGAGTTGTGAGGCCAGGGCATTGAGGTTTGGCTCAGAGTGGGGTGGATGGGCTACTGTGGTGGAGGCGTGAAGTGGATGGATTGGCCAGAGGGGAGTGGAGGACAGTGAGTGGAGGCCAGTGGGAATGGCATTTGTGCAACGAGGGGGGCGGACAGGAGTGGAGGCGCGGTGGATGGGATTGGTCAGAGAGGGGTGGGAGGGCCACTGAGTGGAGGCCATATGTGGTGGGATTGGCTAGAGAGGGGATGGTGAGGACTCCTGAATGGAGGGGGTGGCCCATTGAGGATTGGCGGCAGAGAGGGGTGGGGCGAGGGACAGAAGTAGGAGGCCAGTGTGAATGGATTGGGGAGGGTAGTGGGGACAGGACGTGGGCGGGGCCAGTGGATGGATTGGGAGAAGGGGGGGAGGACAGTGTGTGGAGGCCAGTGGTGGGAGCGGCAGGGAGGGTGTGGTGTGGACACTGGTGTGGGAGGCCATGTAGGGGTGGAGGGATTGGCAGAGAGGGACGAGTGGAGGACAGGTGAATGGAGGGCCCCATGGGTGGGGGGGTATTGGGGGCAGAAGGGGCGAGGGGTGGAGGGAGAGTGGATGGAGGGGCTCAGTAGTGGGGAGGGAGTGAGGGGTGGTGGACACGGAATGGGGGACGCAGGGGAGGGATGGAGGGGAGAGGGGTGGAGGACATTTCTGAATGGAGGCCTGATTGGAGGGACTTGGCAGAGAGGGGTGGGAGGGGGGGGGGTTTGGCGGGTGACCGACTTTAGTCGAGGGGTGGCCGTGAGTGGAAGGAGCGGGAGGGGGAGAGAGGGGAGTGGAGGGGGTTTTCTCGATGGTAGGCCTTTGGAGGTACTTGGCAAGAGAGGGGTGGAGGACAGTGATGGTAGGCCAGTGGGGGGCGATGGCAGAGAGGGGGGAGGACAACTGCAATGGAGCAGGCATAGGGGGGGAATTGGCAGAGAGGCAGGTGAACTGACGAGTGCAGTGGAGGTGAGTGGAGGGAATTGGGCAAGTGACCGGGGTGGGAGGACATGGAGTGGAGTGCCTCTTCCCCCCCAGTGGATTCCCTGTTCCCCCTTCCCCCCCCCCCCCCCTAAGCCCCCCCCCCCCCCTTCCCCCCCACCCTCCTTCCCCCCGAGTGGCAGGAATGATTGAATGGGAGAGGCGGTGGGGGAGGGTGGCGGGGGGAGCGGGGTGGGGTCACTGAATGGGGCCAGGGGAGGGATTGGCAGCAGAGGGGGGTGGAGGACACTGAATGGGATTTGGCCGAAAGTGGAGGGATGCTGGGAAGAGAAAACAGTAGATGGGTGGAGAACACTGAACTGTGAGAGGACAGTCAAGGAGGGTTGGCTAGTGATGACGGGTGGAGGACTACTGAGAGTGGAGGTTAGTGGTACGGATTGGGGCAGCTAGAGGGTGACGTGGAAACCGGACACTGCAATGGAGGGCCAGTGGAGGGTTTGGCAGAGAGGGGTGGAGGACACTGAATGGAGGCTGTGGAGATGGGATTGGCAGAGAGGGGTGGAGGGACACTGAATGGAGTGGCCCAGTGGAGGGATTGGACAGAGGGGGTGGAGGACACTGAATGGAGGAAGGCCAAGTGGAGTGAGGGCAGATTGGCAGGTAGAGAGGGGTGGGAGGACACTGAATGGAGGCCAGTGGTGAGGGGTATTGGCGGGGAGAGGGGGGGGGATGGGGGACAGTGAGTGGAGGCGCGGCGTACCCCCCCGCCAGTGGAAGGGATTGGCAGAGATGGGTGGGGACACTGAATGGTGTCGCCAAGTGGAGGGATTGGCACGAGAGGGGTGGAGGATCACTGAGGGGAGGCTCCAGTGGAGGGGCATTGGCAGAGAGGGGTGGAGGACACCTGAATGGATGGACCAGTGGAGGGTATGGCAGAAGTATGGGTGGAGAACACTGAATAGAGACCAGAGTGGAAGGGATTGCCGAGAGGGGGTGGAGGACAACTGAGAGTGGGCTGGTTAGAAGTTGGGGGGACTGGCAGAGAGGGAGGGTGGCGTGGAGGTACACTCGAATGGGAGGCCGTGGTGGAGGGATTGGCAGAAGAGGGGTGAAGACTTGAAGTATGGAGGGCAGCGTGGAGGGATGGCAGGATGGGGTGAGAGGACTCGACTGAATGGAGGCCAGTGGAGGGTTGGGGAGGTGGGAGGAGATCTTAATGGCGGTGGGAGGGATGTGGGTGAGGGGTGAGGGACAGAATGGGATGGAATTGGCAAGAGAGGGGTGGAGGACAGTGAGTGTTGGAGGCCAGTGGAATGGGATTGGCAGAGAGGGGGTGTGGAGGACACTGAGTGGAGGCCAGTGGAGGGATTGGCAGAGAGGGGTGGAGGACACTGAATGGAGGCCATTGGAGGGGATTGGCAGAGAGGGGTGGGGGGGGACAGTGAATGGAGGCCAGTGGATGGATTGGCAGAGAGGGGGTGGGGGACAGTGAGTGGAGGCCAGTGGATGGGTATTGGCAGAGAGGGGTGGAGAGGACAGTGAAATGTGGAGGCCAGTGGTGGGGATTGGCAGAGAGGGGTTGGAGGACACTGAGTGGGAGGCAGTGGTGGGATTGGCAGAGAGAGGTGGTGGAGGCTTGGACTGGTGAATGGGAGGGGGTGGAGGACATTGGAGGGGGATTGGCAGAGAGGGGTGGAGGACAGTGAATGGAGGCCAGTGGTGGGATTGGCAGAGAGGGGGGTGGGGGACACTGAATGGAGGCCAGTGGAGGGATTGGCAGAGAGGGGTGGAGGGACTTGAATGGAGGCCATTGGGTGGGATTGGCAGAGAGGGGTGGAGGATGGAGGACACTGAATGGAGGCCAGTGGATGGATTGGCAGAGAGGGGTGGGCTGGGACACTGAATGGAGGCCATTGGAGGGATTGGCAGAGAGGGGTGGAGGACAGTGTGAATGGAGGCCAGTGGTGGGATTGGCAGGAGGGGTGGAGGACACTGAATGGAGGCCAGTGGAGGGATTGGCAGGAGAGGGGTGGAGGACAGTGAGTGGAGGCCAGTGGATGGGGATTGGCAAGGAGAGAGGGGTGGAGGTGTACAGTGAGTGGAGGCCAGTGGGAGGGATTGGCAGAGAGGGGTGGAGGACACTGAATGGAGGCAGTGGAGGGCATTGGCAGTGGGCAGAGAGGGGTGGAGGACACTGAATGGAGGCCAGTGGAGGGATTGGCAGAGAGGGGTGGAGGACACTGAATGGAGGCCAGTGGAGGGATTGGCAGAAGAGGGGTGGAGGAGGACACTGAATGGAGGCCAGTGGTTGGGATTGGCAGAGATGGGTGAGGAGAACACTGAATTGGAGACCAGTGGAGGGATTGGCAGAGAGGGGTGGGAGGACACTGAGTGGAGGTTAGTGGAGGGAATTGGCAGAGAGGGGTGGAGGACACTGAATGGGGAGGCCAGTGGAGGGATTGGCAGAGAGGGGTTGGAGGGACACTGAATGGAGGCCAGTGGATGTTATTGGCAGAGAGGGGTGGAGGGAGGACACTGAATGGAGGCCAGTGGAGGGATTGGCAGAGAGGGGGTGGAGGACACTGAATGGAGGCCAGTGGGAGGGGAATTGGCAGAGAGGGGTGGAGGACACTGAATGGAGGCCAGTGGAGGGGATTGGCAGAGAGGGGTGGAGGACAGTGAGTGGAGGCCAGTGGAGGGATTGGCAGAGAGAGGGGTGGAGGACACTGAATGGAGGCCAGTGGAGGGATTGGCAGAGAGGGGGTGGAGGAACTGAATGGAGGCCAGTGGAGGGATGGCAGTTGGCAGAGAGGGGTGGAGGACACTGAATGGAGGCCAGTGGAGGGATTGGCAGAGAGGGGTGGAGGGGAACACTGAATGGAGACCAGTGGAGGGATTGGCAGAGAGAGGAGGTGGTGGAGGACACTGAGTGGAGGTTAGTGGAGGGGGATTTGGCAGAGAGGGGTGGAGGACACTGAATGGAGGCCAGTGGAGTTATTGGCAGAGAGAGGGGTGGAGGACACTGATAATGGAGGCCAGTGGAGGGGATTGGCAGAGAGGGGTGGAGGACACTGAATGGAGGCCAGTTGGAGGGATTGGCAGAGAGGGGGTGGAGGACACTGAATGGAGGTTAGTGGAGGGATTGGCAGAGAGGGCAGCAGTTGCTGATCGGTTGGTAAGGTGTATGAGTCTAGCAGCAGCATTCATAATACACTGAAGGGGGTGTGGCCTGTGTAACGGTTAATTTAGACCAGTGTGAGGAGGGAGTTGCAGTAATGGAGGCGGGATATAACCAAGGCGTGGATCAGTTGTTTTGTGGTGTCATTGGTCAGGAAGGGGGTGGATTTTGGAGATGTTTCGGAGGTTTGAGGCGGCCAGGATTTAGCCAGAGTGAGTGGATGTGGGGCCCAAAGGAGAGGTCAGAGTTAGGATTTTTGTAGTAGAGTGTTATGGGGGATCTGTGAACACAAGGAATGCTGGGATTATTCCACGGACCAGGGGTGTACTAACCATTTGGAAACTCGGGCACTGCCCGAAGGCCCGGGTGTCAGTAGGGGGTCCCATGAGATGCCCCTGGTACCTTTTTCATAGGCTTTTTTTGAGTTTGGGAATAGAACACGGGGCCCCATGATCCCCTATTGCCCGGGGGCCCCATGAGTTGTCAGTCCACCCCTGCACGGACCGTCAGCTGTAAACACTGATGAAGGGACATTGTAGGACATCCATTGTCCATCAGACATCCGGGGACACCAGAAAATCCTATACAAGACCATTCTGGTCTGCAGGCCAGATTCACGTTCATGGTTTGCGGTTCCGCATGCCATTCAGAGCACATTCCTGTGACACATGTAACATGCAAAGCGGTGCCATTCATCCTGAGCACACGTGGTGATTGGGCTCCTACCGATAGCAGAAATCTGGGACCTGTGAAGCTTCGTATGCAGACCTCCACCTTTGATACGAGTCAATGTGTAGAAACTAATATTGGGACCATTTCCATTTGACTCCATCTTTCCCGTATTTGGTGGACAGTTTTCCACACAAACTCACAACTTTGGATTCAGCAATCCCACATTCCTGTCGTCTGGCCGAGGTGTGCAGATGCAGAGTTCTGTTTGCTCTGCTTGTGTATATTGGGTACACGGCCAACACCAAGCCTGCAGAACGCCATCAAATATTCAGACTGGAAACTAACTCTAGAGCCAGTTGGGAAGGTTTTTCATGTTTTTGTGACCACAGATGTACAGATCATAAAACTACGAATGTGAGGTCACCATTGTCTGATGTTCTTAAAGGTAAACCCACCTATTGGTCGTGCAAACAGCATTACCGGTACAACACTCTAATGACTGCTCTCCTTGGCTGCTGCAGTGCACCTGCTTCAACTTCCAGATCACATGACTGACTACATGTTCCATAACAACCCGACTTCCTCAGGGGTCCCTTCTTCTATAGGAATTGGATGTTTTACATGATGTACATCTCTGGTTTATGCAATGATTATATCAAGGAATCATTGACCATAATCAGGTGTAATGTGAGATGGGGAAACAGCTCTCATTGTTTGAACACTGTTTGTGTGCAGCAAATTATTGTGTGGAGTAAATTAAATGTTCAGGACTGAGATTCTGCGGTTTAGCCACAAGATGCCACTGTTTTCCTAACACAGCCTCAGACTGCATAGATATTTCTATATTCATGAAGAGGTGAGGTTTTCACACGGGGTTGAGGGAACAGGAAGAGGAGAGAGACTGCAGCCATGTTCTGTGGATGGTGAATGCAGGAGCCATGTGAGCAGAGAATCTGATGGCATCCAGGTGTGAGAGCATCCCTCAGTAACCAGAGCTGCAGCTAAGTGAAGCTGATCGTGTCCAAGACCCTGATCCTGTTCAGAGAAAGGAAGATTGCTGCCAGGAATGCTGATGAGAGCAGAGGAACAAAGCAACATACACTGCGATTCCGCATGCTTATTGGAGAGACATTTGTTCTGTTCAGAGTCACCAGCGGATGCAAAGCAGACCCGGGTCGGTAAGATCGTGCACGCACCTCATTTCAGTGTTGGCACCTAGAGACTGAGTCCAGGCCTATAGTTAGTTAGTTAGTTAGAGTCTCTGTGTCAGGCCACAAGTGTTGTTACTGATCATTGGAAGGACTCCACAACTTAAAGTGACATTTCACATTGGAGAGCTGATAAAATCCTACAAACTCACCCCAGACTGGCGTTTTGCTCAGAAGGAATACTCCGGCACATGCTACAGGACCAGTTATGGGGGGGGGGGGAATACTGTAGATTTGTGTAAGATTGTAAGCTGTTGTGCTGCACCGCAGGCTAGCCCATCCGTACCCCCATACACTGATTCCTGCTCTGTAGGGTAATAACAGGTAAGGTGTGGCAGCTTAGTTGTGCCCCCCCAGTAGGTAAATTATTACACATTCACTGTATCCTGGGAGCCCACCCCGGTACACGGCTTACACATTCACTGTATCCTGGGGAGCCCACACCGGTACACGCCTTACACATTCACTGTATCCTGGGGAGCCCACCCCGGTACACGGCTTACACATTCACTGTATCCTGGGGAGCCCACCCCGGTACACGGCTTACACATTCACTGTATCCTGGGGAGCCCACCCCGGTACACGGCTTACACATTCACTGTATCCTGGGGAGCCCACCCCGGTACACGGCTTACACATTCACCCTGGGGAGCCCCCCCCGGTGTATCCTGGGGAGCCCACCCCGGTACACGGCTTACACATTCACTGTATCCTGGGGAGCCCACCCCGGTACACGGCTTACACATTCACTGTATCCTGGGGAGCCCCCCCCGGTACACGGCTTACACATTCACTGTATCCTGGGGAGCCCTCCCCGGTACACGGCTTACACATTCACTGTATCCTGGGGAGCCCTCCCCGGTACACGGCTTACACATTCACTGTATCCTGGGGGCCCACCCCGGTACACGGCTTACACATTCACTGTATCCTGGGGAGCCCACCCCGGTACACGGCTTACACATTCACTGTATCCTGGGAGCCCACCCCTGGTACACCCCCGAGGCTTTAACGCTTACACATTCACTGTATCCTGGGGAGCCCACCCCGGTACACGGCTTACACATTCACTGTATCCTGGGAGCCCACCCCGGTACACGGCTTACACATTCACTGTATCCTGGGAGCCCACCCCGGTACACGGCTTACACATTCACTGTATCCTGGGGGGCCCACCCCGGTACACGGCTTACACATTCACTGTATCCTGGGGAGCCCACCCCGGTACACGGCTTACACATTCACTGTATCCTGGGAGCCCACCCCGGTACACGGCTTACACATTCACTGTATCCTGGGGAGCCCACCCCGGTACACGGCTTACACATTCACTGTATCCTGGGAGCCCACCCCGGTGCACGGCTTACAGTAGCACCCTCCCAATATAAAGTAGGTTGCTGGGTAAATTTAGTTGGTTCCTCTGTAATCAGTGGGGCGGGGGCTGATTGTTCAGATATGCTCAGTGTTTCACAGGCTGCTGCTCTGATCGCTTCTCTCTGTATTCTAGAACGGGTGGGCAACTGTGACCCTCCAGCTGTTGTAGAACTACAAGTCCCATGAGGCATTGCAAAACTGACAGTTACAAGAATGATTCCCAAAGGCAGAGGCATGATGGACTTGTAGTTCACCAAAAGCTGGAGGGCCAGAGTTGCCCACCCGTTTTAGAGGATTCTTCTAGAGGAAGAGTAGAGCAAGCAACCTGAATATTTATGGGGCTCTAGCCAATCCTTGGGGAGGTGTGCACAGAAGGTGGTGAGAGAACCTATAAATAGTCTGAGACCTGAGCAGCGGGAAGTAGAGTTCCTGGGTCCAATCCTGCAGGAGGAGACCCCTGTGCAGGGGTTCTGCCCAGGGGCAGACTGACAACTCATGGGGCCCCCAGGCAATAGGGGATCATGGGGCCCCTGTGTCCTTGCCCAAACTCAAAAAATCCTATGAAAAAGGTACCAGGGGCATCTCATGGGGCCCCCTACTGACCCCGGGCCCTCAGGCAGTGCCCGAGTTTCCAAATGGTCAGTCTGCCCCTGGTTCTGCCCCTGGTGCAGAATACTAGAAGAATCCATCAGAAAGATACTTGAGTCCAAGCTAGGCTTATCGGGGGGGGGGGGGCCTGTTCAAAAGCTCAAGTCTGGGGATCAAGTTGGATCTGGAGATGCTCACTGGAGACGCTGGAGGAATGGTGGGGAAGAGTCCATAAATAGTCTGATGCCTGAGTAGTAGAGTTCCTGGGTCCAGTCTTACTGGAGGAGACCCTTGTGCAGAGGGCTCTACCCCTGAGGCAGAATACCAGAAGGAGCCATTAGGAAGACACCGAGATCCCAGCTAAGCTTAGCTAAGGGTCTATTTGCAAGCTCCAGGAATCAAGTTGGGTCTGGAGGAGCTCACTGGAGAGAGCCAGGAGGACGTTGGTGGGGAAGACTCCAGCTGTCCTGTGGTGGTGTGAATCTACATCTCCCTCACTGAGAAGAGCCTGATGGATATCAGCAGAAGACAACCGATGATCCTTTGGCTGTGTGAATAAATGACCCCAGTGCTGGAGAGTCTGTGACTGTGTGTAGCTGTAGTCATCAGAAGGAGGACAGGTCACCATCAGCATAGAGATCCTAGGAGACATTACTTTTATTTTTTGTACAGAACTGCCAGAAAGCCAAGGAGTCCTCAAGGTAATCAGGTCTTCAGCTTATTGGGTATCCTATTATCCCTCATTCTACCCAAGTTCAACATTCCCAATAAAAAACCCAAAAAGAAACCCCGAGACTGTTCCTTGGAGCCAGTAGAAGGTTAAAGAAAATGCTGCACGCCTGGCTGTGTGTACTCTAAGTGGGGAAATAGGACGAAGTTCACCAGCAGCTCTTTAGGGGGTGCGCTACGCGGGGATTAGGATCAAAGGCAAAGCATCGCCCCAGGAAATGTATGTGCCTCTACCTCTCCCTAATAGGCAGATATCCCCAGGGGTGCATTTTTGGGTGAGGTGATGGTCTACAGTCGATATTGGAAATTAGATGAGCAAATGGAGGATCAGCAAGAAGGGTTTCTGAGAGGATTGAGGGACTTTTATTAATGACTTGTTCTGAAACAAACTGATACATTGTTTTTATGACCTGTTATTGGATATACAGTATATACTGCGGTTTGTGGTGAGAGGTTGTACGGTGGTAGGACTGGCTATCAGGTGGAGCTGATGTATATTATGGAGAAACAAAGCGCTCACAACAAGGAGACCATTCAATGTCAGACCTGGAGTCCATCAATGGGTGCTCCAGCCCCAAACGGTCCTCCAGCCGCCATATACAAATGGAATGCAGAGGAGAGCCGGCAGCTCCAAATCCATATAAATTGCTTGTCGCATTTCCCTGCGTCGGGGATCTACTGTGTGGGATAGTTTGCTGCAACAATACAATGATTGTACCAGAAAAGGTCGGAATCTGCAACAAAGTTTGCTACAAT